GTTGCATATCTTCGATTCAAGACTTAAGAAGGCGGCATATGGTCATCGCTGCGTCCAGGTAGTCCACATCGTCAGCAGGTAAATGATCAGGTCATCACAACCCGTAACATCAACCATTTTGACACGTGACCGCCTTTGAGGAGATAATCCGGTGCCTTATCGATACATTGGGACCACAACAACAAGAAAAAAAAAAGTGGACAAGCTTGAGTCGCGTCTAATAGTCACACACCAAAGGATGACCACAGCAATAGGGCGCTAACTAACCGTACGGGCACATGAGCGGGCACAGGAAGTCGTACCACGATCAAAATACTGACTGAAATGTCTGCTAGAAATTTAGTCAGTTCACACTATAGACGTAACAGCTTTATACCCATCAATGCAGTACACTACGTTATTACCTGTACACGACATCATTACAAGTACACTGTACCATCACGAATACACTAAACCAGTGGTCGGCAAACTCATAAGACAAAAGAGCCAAAAATCCGCAGCAGGGCGATTCATTTTTTTTTTTTCAGAGCCAAATTTCTTTTAAAGAAATTGTCAAGAGCCACGTTTTTGGCCGACTGGCGCAGCCGCACTCAGGTCATTGCAGAGCCGCACTCAGGTCATTGAAGAGCCGCACTCAGGTCATTGAAGAGCCGCACTCAGGTCATTGAAGAGCCGCATGCGGCTCGAGAGCCGCGATTTGCCGACCACTACACTACATCATTACAAGTACGTTCAAAATTAATTCAACCCTTTGCCTCCCCTACAAACACAAGTCACGTGCTTATACTCGCCCCTTATCAAGTGCTCTTACTAGCTTTTTTTTTGTGTAATCTGACACTGTTACCAAATTACATCGGGAAATTTGAATTTTTAATTTTGCTCTTTGTTTAGCCCTCGAGAAACTTGTGGGACAAAATGTCCATCAAGAGAAACATATAGGACGAAATGTCCATCAAGAGAAATGCATTTGTTTAGCAATCAGTAACAAAGTAAAACAAAATAAAAATGTAAAAACTCAAAACAAAATATGTCTTAAATTATGTTTACACTAAGACCATACCTACTACCAACGATTTTGAATGAATATTTAGTTGTATTAACTTCTTATATATCTTACGCCTCTGGTAAATTGATTCCATTTCCGGCTGCTTCTTACAAGCCGACCGCTTCCTATTCAGCGTATTTGGTTTTGAGATTATTTAACAATAATTATATATAAGTTTGAAAGAAAATATTGTTCAATAGTGAGTTCAATAGAGCACAAAATATAATTCCCGATAACTACGCTAAATGATATAATTTAAAAAAAAAAAATAACTCTACTGCGTTTGGTGCGTAATATTTTCTTTTCTTTCCGGAACGGAACACAAAATCGTCTCCATTTAAATATGGTGTACTAAATATTCGGTTTAAAGGTGGTTGGGGCATGAGAATATTAATATAGTTCATCGACGTGAAATAAAAAGTGTGCAGTGACGTATCATTAGGTTTGGGGGGGGGGGGGGGGG